TCAGCGGCAGCACCAATTGCTACACCGGCAACACCTGGGACACCTCTCTCTGCCCCGACCCCGTCACTTGTTCAAAAAACTGTGCTCTTGATGGCGCTGACTATTCTGGTGAGCCCCAGACTCTGCTGCTAACATCGGACGGCCGTAAGCTCACATTACGCATCAGGCACGTACGGTATCACCACTAGCGGCAACCAGCTCTCTCTGAAGTTCGTGACCCACGGCCCGTACTCGACTAACATCGGCTCCCGTGTCTACCTTATGGATTCGAGCGACCAGAACTACCAGCTGTTCAACCTCAAGAACCAGGAGTTTACTTTCGATGTCGACATGTCGAAGCTCCCATGCGGTCTTAACGGCGCGCTCTACTTCGTCGAAATGGACGCCGACGGCGGTGTCTCCCGCTTCCCGAACAACAAGGCCGGTGCTAGATACGGTACTGGTTACTGCGACACTCAGTGCCCGCATGACATCAAGTTCATCAACGGCGAGGTATACAGCTTCTCAGCCTTTCCCCATGGTGCATTACTGATTCGCTGATAGGCCAACATACTCGGCTGGGCGCCCTCTGCCAGCGACCCGAACGCGGGTACTGGTCAGTACGGCACCTGCTGTAACGAGATGGACGTCTGGGAAGCGAACTCCATGGGCGCGGCGGTTACCCCGCACGTCTGCTCCGTCCAGGGCCAGACGCGCTGCTCGGGCAACGACTGCGGCGATGGCGACAACCGCTACGGCGGTATCTGCGACAAGGATGGTTGCGACTTCAACTCGTGGCGCATGGGCGACCAGACCTTCCTCGGACCCGGCAAGACCGTCAACACCAACCAGAAGTTCACGGTTGTCACCCAGTTCCTCACAAGCAACAACCAGACGTCCGGCACGCTCTCCGAGATCCGCCGTCTATACGTCCAGAACGGCCAGGTCATCGCCAACTCGAAGACGAACATTCCGGGCATGGCCTCGTACGACTCGATCACCGACGCGTTCTGCAACGCGCAGAAGCAGGCCTTCGGCGACACCAACTCGTTCGAGAATCTCGGTGGCCTCAAGCAGATGGGTGCGGCCTTCGACAAAGGCATGGTCCTCGTCATGAGTATCTGGGACGACCATGAGGCGCAGATGCTCTGGCTCGATAGCGACTACCCCCTTGACAAGGACCCCTCGCAACCCGGTGTCTCTCGCGGTCCCTGCCCGACCACTTCCGGCGAGCCAACCGACGTCGAGTCCCAGAGCCCCGACGCGACTGTCATCTTCTCCAATATCAAGTATGGCCCAATCGGCTCGACCTATTAAGATACCATGGCCCGTGAGCCTGCAATACCTCATGCAAACCAGCTGACAGGCTGACATCGCCTCTCTACGCTAGTGTCCGGTCTATGCAGAACGGCTGCGAACGTTGAGAAGCTTGTTCCCTAGTGTTTCAGTGTATACTCCCCATATGTGATGTCAGAACGCCCAGCACACTAAAGTGATCTGCGAGAATTCGAACAGCAATCTCACAGTATACAGCACTACACTGAATCCTCTAGTGGGAGTAGACAAGACAGCTCATGCAAGTATGAAGAAACGATGGTCCGCCAGCTCGACACCCGAATTGAGACATTGAAAAGGCTGCCTCAGGCTACCCGGTAGTCTTAATCGCTCCACGCACACTCACTGTAGCAATTTCCATATCTTGCGATGACCTAATTCGCTCAACGGTATCCGCGTTACCGACGATGTCGTCCAGCGTCTGTGGTCTGTACTTCTCAACCCGGTGCAAAGTTCAATGGTCCTATAGGATGATATGAGGGCCAGGATCACCATGGCAGCTCGTATGGCAGAGTAGACGCGTCTCCGTTGGCCAGAGTCTTGCAGGACCCCCGATAATGGTAGGCGAACCCGGATGCGCTCGTGCAGGAAATGGCACAAAATGTCCTCAGAAAATCGCGAGAATCCGGCCTGTATGTCCGGAAAAAATCTGGCTTCCGCCCCCGAAGGGGGCGGTTTGTCCGGCGCTTCGTACTAGGTCCCTTCCGCGTCCAAACTGTCCGGAAAAGCTGAACTGGGTTCGCCTCGAGGAACTTTTGTCCTGAATACGTGAACAGATAGTATATGAAGTGAGCAAAGGTTTTCTAGACTAAGAGTTCAACTCATCTTCATAGAGAGGCTGTAATCTAAGACATGCGCCCATGAAATTTTGACATGTAATCCACCGACATTTGCACTGTGGAATATAAAGCCTGTATATTATTGCCTCTGAGCTTCACTCCAACAAACGGTGGACAGTCTGACAACACGCTTATGCACTTGATATACTGACATATTAAGTCGAATAAAGCTGAATTCTGTGTTTGTAGTCATATAGTGCTCAAGCTGTAGACGACTACTGTATGTAAAAGAGATCAGTAGCCTCATGGCGGACCGCTGTAGGTCATTGGTCCGGTCGCTGCGGTAGCCGGTGAACTGCATGGCTGTTCATATGTCCGCAGACTGGTTCTGGCATGGCCGGCCAACAGACGATTTGTCCTCGATAGCAGCCTAGGTTCTACCTAATTTGTGCGATTTTTGTCCTCAGAAAATCTGGCATAGGGGGGTCTGGAGGCCTGCATTTTGTCCGAATCTGCATCCAGGTTCGCCTACCATTATCGGGGGTCCTAGTCTTGCCCTTCGCTATGGCTATAATGAGAGTCGAGGATGGCGCCCAGGGGTGACCTCACAGACTCGTTACGGACTCGGCGAAGCGTCACGCGTCACTACGCGACCGCGCGATTCAGACTGATTCAGACCGCCGAGACGGATCAGGCTCCTGCAATATGTAATCCGCCGCCCAAGTATTGGCAAGATCCCCTGTCTAGGGGTGATCGGATGCATCAGTCGAAGGGTTTCAGTCTGCATGGGACCTTGACGCACTTAACGACCCTGTGTCCTTAAAGTCGTGACAGCAGGGATAGCCCTTGAGCGGGGGATTGTCTCATCACCGCCAGTCGACTTCTCTTCGTCTCACAAGCCACGTCCACAGTCCCTGCAACACTTTCAAGAGGCACTTAGTGCGCCTCCCTCCGACTCTATCCACCATGTTTGAAAACAGTGCCAACGACATTCTCTCTTTCCCGGCATCGGTGCAATTGATACGCCAATCGCCTCTGGGGCTCGCCTTGGTTTTCTTTGGTTTATACTGGCTTATCAAGGCTCTTCGACCTGTTGACGGCACTAGGCCGCCTCTTGCGCGTTACTGGATTCCATGGCTCGGGTCTGCTATCGATATAGGCAAGGATCCTGATCGATTTTTCAACAGCATGACGTGCGTTCAGTCCATAAGTGATCTATCCTCGAGGAACTGGGCTTCTGAGTTTCTTCCATATAGGAAATCCTTAGGGCCTGTTTTTCGAGTCAAGGTGTTGGGTCGGGAGAAGATCTTTGTCACTTCGCCGTCTGTACGTCGAATGATACTGGCCTTGAGACTGATCGTTGATTGTCATGTTAGCTCATCAGCACTATCTACCGTGACTCGCAAGTAAGTGCAATATGGATACATCTGTCAGCGAGTACTGACGTGCCTCTTCTCAGTCCTTCAGATTCCTTGATGTCCGTCTGGAAATGGGCGAGACAATCTTCTCTATCCGACCCGACGTAGGAAGACAACAGTACATGGTCGAGACGTTCATGCCCGAAATGCACCATGCTCTTCTGCCAGGCAGCTTGGGACCTATGGTGTTGGCCTACATCGCCAGTGCTCATGATTTTATTCGGAGCACTGTCGCGAACATGAATGGGTCCTCTGTCCCCCTCGTATCTCTCATCATTCCCCCTGCCTATCATGCCGCAGCGCATGCAGCGTTCGGGAAAAATTTCCCAGCCGAGGAATCGTACGCGCTTTTCAGGACGTTCGACGACTCTTTCGCCCTCTTGGCTGCCAATGTTCCAAAGATCATGCTCTCAAAGTCGCTGAAGGCATGGGACAAGCTCGTCGACCTGATCGTAGCCTATATTGACAGAGTCGAATCGGAGAGTGGAGAGGAAGTAGGGCACTTCGTCCGGGTGGCCCTCCGTGGCCGCGAGGGTGGATGGGTACGTGGCGGTCCGCGGTTTTGCTCTACTGCGTCCTTGAGCTGAACCTTTCGTTAGACCAGCCGTGACATCGCCACGGTTCTGGGTTCGCAACTCTGGGCGTTACAGGCCAACGCGGTCTTCGCAGCCTACTGGATGGTGGCTCTGTCGCTCGAGCGGGGCGAGGGACTTGCTCCTCTCGTCGAGGAAGTGGATAATGCACGACGCCTTTGGCAGGCTGCTCACCCGTCCAAGCCTCTAGGGACCGAGTTCTTCGAGGATCTCGCATCAGATTCAAAGTCTCTCCCTCTGGTAACGTCTGCTATCCAGGAAACTCTGCGATACACAAGCCAGAGCTTTTCCATACGGCGAGTCACTAGACCCGTCCAGCTCGGAGGGTATGAGCTGCGAGAAGGGGACGAAGTCGTCTGTGCGACGCGCTACGTACATGTGGATGATCAGATCCACTCTGATGCCGCCACGTTCGACATTCGGAGGTATCTTGAGCCTCCGAAGCCCATGAAGGACGGGAGACTGGTCCCCAACCATACGATGCCGTTTGGCGGTGGCGTGTCTAAGTGCGAAGGAAGGTCAGTTTCAAACGTCACGGCGCGTCTGTAGCTGCTCCGAGCGCGTGCTCATGATCATGCGCAGGTTCTTCGCTATATCCGAGCTGAAGATGTTTATGGCGATTCTGCTCACGTATGCAACGGTGGAAGCCGATCCGGCGTCGTCGTCCCGACCGACGTTCTCGTGGGACCGCCAGGGCATATTTCAGCCTCGAGGTGATATGCGGGTGATTGTCCAGAAGCGACAGTTGTGATAGGTTATGTGCGCAGACTTGTATTAGAAGAGGATCAGTTGTCATCCCCTATCTACATAGGTAGGGCGGCTACGGAGACCAACAACTGGTGAGACTACGGGTCCGCAACCATACTGCTGAGCCAAAAGAGACTACCAAGCGCCTGGAGCCCTTGGCACAGTGGTAGCGCGTGAGATTCCAGCTGGTTTGCCAGGGAGTTCCTCAAGGTCGTCCGTTCGATCCGGGCAGGGCTCAATTTTTGTCTCCGGTAACTGTCCTCGAATGGAATTTTCGGACATGGCAACACTGACAAAGTTCTGCTCCCGGGACCAGCACTGCAGCGCTCTTAGGCGACAATACGGTACAACATAATATCGCCCCGATTGGCGCCATTAGACGAAACGTTTCACAGGGGACACATCGCCTCAGGCATTGAATGATAGATGTAGGTGCGACAATAGGGAAGCGAATCTCATCCAAAGATTATAGGTGTCCGTCTCGGATACGTTTGTAAAGTCCGACTATAAGGTCGTTTGCCGTGAGGGTGACGATTCTGAACACCAGATGGGCGCCTCAGTCAGCTTCGTATCTAACGGGGTACGCATGTCACTCACGTATGTGGTACTATACGGAGGAAGTGCGCCGTCGAGCCTGTGAGGTAGTGTGTAAGACGCGCATAGACTTGTGGGTGATGAAGTACTCTACAAACCTTTGTACCAACCAAGCGGCCCCTCGGCCTTTAGCGTCTTCCAGAGGCAGTCTATGGGGTTCTTGTAGAGGACCCCGACGTGTTTCCCGTCGGGAGTGCGTACGGTAGGTTGATTATACATCCGAGTCAGTACGGTATCGGTGGGTTGCATCATCGCCAACTTGACAGCAGTCAGTCGGACCGTGCAGCGAAACGCTCAGAACAGCCAAGACGTACCACACAAAGGCCCGAGACCGAGCTGCTCGCCAGAAACGTCCATATGCTGTTTGAGCTAGATATGCCACGGCTGACGAGCTGATTCTTCGTCCAATTGTAAGTGGGAAGTTGTACCTAACAAAGTCACCCAGACGTCAATACCGGACTGAGGTGGTTTGAGGTAGCGGATACCTACGGACGAGCCCATGGCTGTTCGCAGAGCAGCCGCGTCAATTCCTCGTACCAAGCCCCGGAACTTCTCTGCATGCCAGATGTTTCTGAACGCATCAAACGAGTTTTTGTAATAGTGCTGGGCTCCGACGGGTAGCACGGGCGAATAGGCCTTCGAGGCGAGATTCAGGTCAGGCATACATGAGGTGCGTGATCATAACAGTGATGGTCACCTGCATTCGCGCCTTGATCAGGAAGAAGGGATTTCCGAGACTGGCTAAAGTGGTCTTGGTGAGCTGTGAATCCTGGTGCGCGAGTGGGTCCATACCTCCGATAATCCCACTTGCTGCTCCAGAGAATACGGAGGTAAGGGGTATTTGATCCGTGGGGTCTGCACCGATAATTTTGTTACATTGTCTCCGAATAGGCTCATAGAAACCTAAGTCCTTCAGGTGAAACTGCTATCTCCATCAGGACCATGGCAATGGTATGACGTACCCAGTCGGGACCCATTCATCAGGATCTGGACTTGTCAGTCACGCGTAAAAAGGGACGTAGCAGAGCGACACACTTGATAGACATACTGTTTTACGAGGGTCAATGGGATTGAATCCACGATACCACGGATGGACGCTTACTGCAGGACCCAGGCCTCTCTGTATGCCCCGCAGGCCTTCATTTCGCCACGTCTTGGCTATGACATCTAACGCGTTCTTGTACACCTTTTCCGCACCCCTCTTAGCGAGCTCTCCTTGCAGCTGCATTCGCGTCTTCGCCACCTCCGCTGGATTGGACACGGTTACCTATAACCGAGCCACCTTCTATCAGGAGCTACCAAGTTCCCATATGGCAGATGAGCCTTACCGCTACACACGCCGCCATTCCACCGCATATGAACCCTTCGGTACCTGAGAGCGGCCTGCTGGTGGCCGCAGGCGCACTCATTCTGGCCTAGAGAGCTTGGAGGAAGAACGACGAGGACGAACCGAGTGAGGGTCTCCCGTAGACGCGTCCCCCTCATTGCCAAGCGCGGTAGCACCAATGCATGCGTCCGACCCCGTCGAATGCCGGCCAATTGCATATCGCAATCGCGAGACGTGTTGCAGACATTGATAACCGTCGCATCAGTGTGGCCTCACTCATCGTTTCTTCGGCTGCAATATATGCCATATCTGCCTGAGATCACACTCATATGATATTCGGAGAGCAAGTACGTAGAGCTCGGTCACTTATGGTCTGATACCCGGGCCATGGCACGACCAAGTTACATAGAATGCGGATCTCATTAGCTGCAGCCTACTGCCAGAGGCTGTCATTATCGGATAACAACAGTAGAGACTGGCTTGAGATGCGCTTGTGCCTGCTTGGAGTCGGTCCTGTATGTGCGACATGCTTCACTGTAGATTCTGTCAGAACGAGGTGGCTTGCGGACAGTGGACCTCTGACAGTGCGCGTTTAGAGTAGCCGGGGTCCCGGTCAGGTCTGACGCGACGCGGTGGACGGTTTCTTCGAGTATTACTCCTCTCACAGATACTACTACTACTACGACTCGCGCGAGCACTTCCCCGCTGACGACGGCTCGTCATCAAGGGGATGCCGCCGTTGGGTAGGCATGCAGTCATAGTCTGCCTTGTTGTAGGAGTGGGTCTGCCTGTGCTCAAGCGGCTCATCTCATCCCCCGTTGCTCTGGCTCTCCTTTTGCCTCTACTCATCCTGCTCGTTGTCTTCGGATTTTTCGCCCTGAATGTTGCGCTCGGCTATCTTCTTGACTCTATGCGACCCCCTCCCACTAATGCTTTGATCACTGCAGCTCGGCCCCTTGCTTTCTCTACCCCAGCCGCGTGGCAAGCCGTCTTGACACGGTCTCAATGGTCATATAAAACCCCTCAGTCTTTGCCGCCTCTCCGTCCTGACGCTCCTGTGATATCGGCCGCTATCAATGATATCCTCATCCTCATCGTGCGTGACTTCGTACTGGTGTGGTATAAAGATATATCGTCCTCCCCATCCTTCCCTACGGCTGTATCATCCACCCTCCATAGTTCCATGGAGCGCCTGCTCGACAGAGCCACATCGCTTGACCTCTCTGCCTTGCTGGTCAATCGGATCTTGCCCAAAGTGACCGCACATATCGAACAGTTTCGTCAATCTGAAGTCGCGCTTCGAGGCGCTGGTCTGGAGCGCAAATTGACCCAGTCCGAGGAGCTTGATCTCTTACTGGCCAGTCGCTACGCTGCGAAAGGCGGAGGGAGGCTCCATCCCGCGGTCGACAACTTATCGTCTACGTTCACGAAACAGACCGAGGAGAATCATCTTCGTGGGCTGATAGATAAGGTCCTTCCGTACATACTCCCCGAGAAGGAAGCCCAGAGTCGCGCGGTCAAAATAGTCGTCAGAGAAATAGTCGTATGTTCTGTTTTGTACCCCGTCATGGAAATGCTAGCAGACCCCGATTTTTGGAATCGCATGATTGATCAAGTTGTGAGTAATGACGGCCTTCAGCCATGCGCCTTCTGACCTGACATAGGCAGGGGCTGCTATCCGGCAACAGTGCGTCCGCTAGGAGTCATGTTTGTCTGATCTATTGACGACGCACCACCTCACGCAGACGACTCATATCCAAAGTACGGCACATCCTGGAAGCCCAGTTGCCGCGCTCGCATCCTCGTCTGGCAGACATTCCGGCTACCACTACGGAGACAATCACCATCCGGACAGACGCGAAGCAGTTTGAATCTTTCCTACGCAGTATCAACCGATGTTCCTCTTTGCTGGACGCCCGAAGGCTGAGGAACGACATCATGGGAGAGATTCGTCGGACGCGTGCTCTACTTGGTGAGTGTTATGGAAGACGTAACACGGAAGACTCGGACCAATGTGCTTCGATAGCCAATAATGCTAATTCGGATTGGATCAATGGCGAGAAGACAGAGGATATTGTCGCTTTCCTTGACCGACTATACACAGCAAAACGAAAGGTCGAGAAGCGCATCGTTATCCTGGGTGGCGAACCTGATTCGGTATTATAGCACACATCCAACTCAGCCTGCTCATACTGAATTCAACTTCGCAGCGACAGACGATCTATCAAGAGACGCCGACCGCCACGCCCTTGTCACTCCGGGATATCCTCACAAACCCGAGTTCGCTCTCCTATTTCATGGAGTTCATGGATCGGCGCCACCGATCCCTTCTGGTACAGTTCTGGCTTACCGTAGAGAGTTTCAAGAATCCGCTGGAGTCTGTTGACTCGGGCAGTTCTGACGAAGACGATGAACCCCTCCTCGACCCCGCCCAGTCAGCCACGCTCAAAGAGGACATTTCGCTAATCAACGAGCTCTACTTCTCCAGTCCTGTTCCGGAGCCAGTGCTCAGCGCTGTGTCACAGAAGCATGTGAACACTATTCGCTCGTTCGGACAGAGTGCCGAGACCTCAACCCCGGCATCGGAGAGGCGCGTGCGCCGCAGCGTCATGCTCGCTCAGAGGCAAGTCGAACGTGAGATGGAGCAGGATTTCGAGGAATTCCAGCGATCGGAGCTCTGGTTTCGGGCGATTGCTGATATTCAGGCCAACGCAGGGAAGAGCGCCGAAGACCCCTCGAGTTCCGGTGGTAACCATTCGCCTACCTCCACTCGACAACCGTCGGAAGTCGCGCCTGCGCGCTCGGCACGCGGCGGGAGTCATCCTCTACTGACAGGCTCGAAGCCTGTGCCGCGCTCTGAATTCCTTCCTGTAATCAGCGGGCCATCTTCACGTCAGACGCCTTCCTCCGCTCCGGCTTCCGGGATCCCAGTAGTACCGCCTCGCCCTGCGGCGTCCAACCTGCAGGTTCTCATGTCTCCTATCCATGAGAATCCTTCGAGCCCGGCAGCTCGTGCCCCCCTATTCGATGACCCGGAAGATGCAGAGCAGCAGGAACAATCTCAAAGGATGGAGGCCATACAAGCTGCGCTGACCGATATTATCGCTCTCGATAAACAGCACGAGGAACCGCGCGCGGGCGGCTCGACGGACAGCCTGAGCGTCCAGGAATCGGTAATCATACCAGACGGCTCGCGGCTCGCCCGTGAAGGCAAGCGACGGCTGATGTTCGATGACGAAGTCGAAGAGGAGGAAGGCCATGTGGGCGAGGATGAGGACGCGGAGAAGGAGCATGGCTCGTTCCAGCTTGCCGGGCCG